ATATCATCATCATTTACAACATTGTGAAATTTCATAAAAATACCAAACTTCTATCGAATGTTTTTATAAAGCAGATAAATAAAAAGATATGCTCTTCGTCCTCTAAATATTTATTGCAGAAGTTTTCTAATGTTAAAATCTAAAAACGTCTATTTCGTGTTGTTTTTTTTAAAATTTTTTCCATTGTTTATTTTTTCTCTTTTGATTCTCTTATATCTCGTATGAGGTTTTTTAGTGTAATTTTATAATACTTTTTAATATTATTTCAAGGTTGCTGTACAAAAGAAATACACATTTTATACCGGGTACTATGATCAAATTACAGCCAAACCTTGTAAGGTCGAAGTCGAAGGGACCGGACAAAGTATTCGACTTATCCGAGGTTCGACTCATCCGAGTTTGAGGGTGTAGTCATTAATTAAGAATGCATAAAATACGGCAAAATGTAACTTTAAATACCTTTGCATTTGGAATCAAACCATGGTTTATAATGGTGGCTTTTGTTATTTTTTGGTAAAGAATAATTCTTTAATAGAAAATGATTTTTGTCAAACTTTGCTTTACTATAGAAAGCAGCATAACTCTTAAGTTGGAAATAAAAAAATACATCATCTATGTCCCCTATTGACTTGGATGGACAGAGTGCGTTTCAGTTTTAGCTTCAAAGTTGTCTGAAACTTTAGGAACTGCATTTATGCCCGCAATCTCACCAAGGATAGCTCAATTTAAAAATCTTTTAGTTTTGAGATCATATCAAAATTGGCATACTTTTTACTCTGTTGAAAAAAGAGTTTTGTAGGTATTCTATATACATTGATAGACATACACAACTTTATATGATATATGTTATTGTTATTTTACGAATGTAACCCCATCTTTCATAAGATGGGTCATTAAGGTTTCTTTTATTTTACAAATAACTGTAGTTTGTTAATATCATTTTTTTGATTTAAGTACAAGTATATCTGTCTATCTTTTATTGTTACTTCAGTCCTTTTAATAATAAATGAAAACACATGCCAGTTTGTCATTCCTTCGTCCAATCAAAACGAGCAAGCCAGTGTTGAGAAAAATTATTCTATTTTTACGCGATATTTTTTTCCAAAATTTTTCTTTGTGTTATCGCGTTATTCAAATATATGATTCTTATCTATTATACTTTAAAGTAAAGGGACTCTTGTGATAAATTTTCTGATATTATATATTTCATAAATGAAAATAAGATAAAAGATAAAGTACAATGTATATTACGCTTAGCCTTTATTGCATTTGTTTAACTATTTCCCTTCGTGTTGTTGTTACACAACTGAAATTTCAAACTCCGAAACAGCGGTTACGTCCTCCTTACTGACGCTACGTTGAATATGATAGCTTAGCGAAGCAACGTCACCACTGTTTCGGAGTTTGCTGAAATTTGTGAAGACCGATGGTAGATCAGTACAATGGACTCTCAAGATTATTGTACAGTGGAGACAGAGTATAAACAGGAAAATATTAGACTATATATATATTATATATTTATATATAAGTCTAAATTGAAAAAAACGTTCAAACCTATGATTGCGTTGGATAAAAACCGCAATTTTTATACGTGTGCATGCAAAACAAATTTCTTGGTAGAGGGGTCTAAATACAGCACAAACAACATCTTCCAAAAGACCAAAAAAAGTGAAAAAGTATATTTAAACAAAACGCATTTGACTAACAGGTCGAAAAACGGATGTTCTTAAACCCTGCTGACTGCCATTGGCGATTGCCAAATAAACGGATCACAAGATTTAACACAGTGGATCTATATTATTAATTTTATACCAAACAAAAAACAATAAACTTGCGGAAAAGATGGTATACCGCAAACATGAGGTGCAAAAATTTGTAGACCATATCCGGATTTCGACAATTATAATGTCTCTTCAGTGATGTTAGGAATAGAAACGGTATTTGGAAGGCCATATAATTTACATCAATTTAGGATAGACTCTTGAATTTTGAAGAGTCGAAATAGGATGAACGGATCATATATACCCGAAGGCAAATGTAATACAAGCCCAAACGAAAAAATATAAGTCTAGATTGAAAACAACGTTCAAATCTATCATTGCGTTAGATAAAAACCGCAATTTTTATACGTGAGCATGCAAAACAAATTTCTTGGTAGAGGGGTCTAAATACAGCACAAACAACATTTTCCAAAAGATCAAAAAAGTGAAAAAGTATATTTAAACAATATATTTATAAAGATATTGTAGGAAACTAAAGTTACATACATAGTTATAAAATGCAATAGCATTTCGACAAATTACGTTATACGCTCTCTGTCACTCTTCGATCTGCCATTCAAAATAACTCACCTATGTATTTTTTTTCATCAGAAGATTCTGAGCATTCACAATTATAAAAAAATGTTGGTATTAACAATATTTTTTTATCTAAAGAATGCCATGTATATATCATTTTATGTACAATATTATACTCAATTTTATTTATTAGATAAATGGCAGAAGCAGTGCGTGATTGTTTGTCTTATGAATTTACCAATCCACTTGTTTTGAAGAATGGTCGCTACGAGAATCCATGGAAAGGATTTAAGTTTCCAAGTTTAGGAGGATTACTGAAGTTTATTTTCATCACTAAAGACAATTCAAATATTCCTGATAGTAGAGTAAATAAACCACATCTTTCTTGATGATCATAATTTTAACCATTTGATTACTGGCTAAAAATACGAACAAAATGAACAAAGATTTGATAATGGGATAAAAAAAACAAGATATTGAAATAACAACCCGACAACACAAGTTCGTCAAAAATATACACGTACAGCTTCAATGATGGATAACACTCACACAAAATCATATTATTTGTAGAAATATAAAAGTAAGAAGATGGGGTATGATTGCCATTAAGACAACTCTCCACAAGAGTTCAAATGACACAGAAATTAACAACTATAGGTTACCCGCCACGGTACGACCTTCAACAATGAGTAAAACCCATACCGCATAGTCAGCTGTAAAAGACACAGAAATAACAAATGTAAGACAATTCAAACGAGAAAACTATCGGCCTGATATATGTACAAAATAATGAAAGAAAACAAATGTGATATACAGCAACAAATTAAACGACAACCACTGAATTACAGGTTGTCAAGTTGTGAAGAATTTAAGAGCTTGCGTGACCATCAAATTATAATAATTAATTTAAACAAGACAATGGATTGTAGTTCCTAATAACAATTATTTTGTTGTTGAAAGCTTAAAAATAAAATTGAGAACGGAAATGGGGAATATGTCAAAGAGACAACAATCCGACCAAAGAGCAAAAAACAATCGAAGGCCACAAATGGGTCTTCAACACAGCGAGAAAATCCCGCACCCGGAAGCGGGTTTAGCGTCCCCTAAATAAAAATGTGTACTAGTTCAGTGAAAATGGACGTCATAATAAACTCCAAAACATATAAATGAACTAAAATTAAAAAACATACAAGACTAACAAGGGCCAGAGTCTCCTGACTTTCGACAGGCGCAGGGTTAAACATGTTTTGTGAGATCTCAACCCTCCCCCTATACCTCCAATAATGCCTTCTTTCGATCTATTACCGGTATTATCCATTGAACTTCAAAAAATATTTCAAATAGCAATATCTTAAATTGTTGTTTTTTTTTTCTGAAAGTATCTTTCCATATAAAAATCAGATGCAATATACTTACTTGTTGATGCATATTTTAAACACATGTTGATAGCATGGACATATTTCGTTATCAGCAAATGATCAAAAGCAAGTTCAGCATGCACATAGTCTTATACCACAACAGTGCTTTTCTTTGCTGCAAAAGATAGGCAGGAGATAAAAAAAAATGATATTCATTTTCATAACTTCATAAGTCGAAAAAAACGGACAACGTCATGGCAACAAAACGAAAATATAACAACTTAAGGCTGAAACATTAAAAAAAAATGATGATGTATTGCTTTTAATCAAGTGTCAAAGGTTGACTTGATGAACATATAATAGATAATGGTTTTCTGTCAAATGAATCTTTTCCTTAACAATTCTCACAGTTGTGTTATATAAACATTTTGTAGTTCACAAACTTTTTTTCTTCTCAGGAATTAAACAAAATACTACCAGTAGAAAACCCCAACTTTGATAGACTGAACAATCCCCCTCCAAATGATATTCAGGTCACATGGATAGGACATGCTTGTGTGCTAGTTCAGTTTGACGGCCTAACGGTTCTCACAGATCCCATTTTTAGCCAGAGAGCTTCCATGTCACAATGGTTTGGACCAAAACGTTTTAGACCAGTACCATGTGAAGTTCAAGAATTACCAAACATCAACATTGTAGTTATAAGTCATACACATTATGACCATTTAGATCATGGGTCTGTCCAGCAATTGAATGAGAGATTTGGGAAAGATTTGGCTTGGTATGTTCCTAAAGGGACAAAACAATGGATGACAAGTGTTAGATGCGAAAATGTTACAGAACTAACTTGGTGGGAAGAGGCTGTATTTCCTAAACAAACAGATGTTAAATTAATTTGTACCCCATGTCAACATTGGTGTAAGAGAAATTTGATTGATACCAATAAGGTAAATGTCTGTTCAATCCTCATGTTGTACTAGTATTTAATAGAAATTAATGTGTCTTGAATAATTACAGCTGCATATAAGGTATTTTGTAAGGTGTTTGCGGCTTTTGATATTAATAAAAATGTGGCTATAATTTCCATAATTTTTGTTATAGAAAACTAATGTCAGTGCTCTTTTTGTTCAGAAAATTGATATTGTTCAAGAAATTGATATTGTGAATTTGTTATTGAATAAATTTATAAACTTGCCACATTTGGCGGAGGATTTGATTACCCTTTGGTAGCACCTGATATCACCCCTTGTTTTGATTGGTTTGTGCTTTTCAGTTTTTGAAAGTGACCTATACTTGTCACTGCATTAGATGGTTTTAGCTATAAACAATCTAATTTTTATTACAGGCATTATGGGGAAGTTGGATTGTGAAAGGACCTAAACATAGTTTTTACTTCGCTGGGGATACTGCTTATTGTGAAGGATTTGAACAGATAGGTAGAAAGTATGGTCCCTTTTCTTTTGCAGCTATACCTATAGGTGCATATGAACCAAGGTAAGAATCAGTTAACTTGTTGGATAGTCACTAAAACTGAAACGTCATAAAAAAAAAGTTTGGTTTAGAAAAAAAGACATTCTTAAACAAACCTAAGCCAATTCTGAGATTTATTTTTTGGGACACTAGCCTTATTCTACATGACTTTAATTTCTGTCAAGTAAATAGCACTCGTTTGCTTATATTATATGTCAGATGTCACAATAATTTATACATATAATAGTTTTTAGAAATACTTAATTTCGTGAGTATTAAGATTTATTGAGTACTTTATAACAATATATGTGAGTCTTTTTTTATCTTCTTGATACCACAATAATTACATTACATGTATGGTTCATTTTAATTCGTTATTTTGATTGGCTAACAGCGATCTCGCGTCATTCTGAAATTAACCTTCATTTAAAAATGAAATGTAACATTCATGATGACACAAGCTTCCACAATAAAGTGCACAGGTAAATAAAAGAAAAACTTGATAGAAATCGTGTTTTCACGATCCTAACAAAAAAATGCAATTATAAGTATTGAATGCTTCTTTTAGTAATTTTATAGGGTTGTAAAAGTGTTGACCGTGCACCCAATTTTAGAATGGAGCGCTTCCACGTTTCATACAAAATGTACTTCGGTCAACGCTTTTACACCCTAATAAATTTACAAAAAGAAGCATTCAATTCTTACATAATAAATCATTTTGTCTACTTTATAAATAATTTGCTTTCACAACAGATCATGGATTAAAAGTTTACAGTGATATTTTAAGTTACCCGGTAACTCTAAGAAAATTATGGTATAAGTTGCCTAGTTTTAGCATTATAATTATTGAATGTACAAGACACATTACATTTGATTCAATGGAGGGAAAATGTCTTTTCATTTCAGAAACTTTATGAAGAATCAGCATGTCAACCCTGAAGAAGCTGTTAAGATTCATGAAGATATTAAAGCAGAAAATTCTCTTGGAATTCACTGGGGAACATTTAAATTAACCACTGAGGTAAAACTACATTCTCATGATGCATTTACAGATAAAGTCAAAACTAACTGCAGAAGTTAAATATTATAAAATGTTGTTATTCCTAAAGAAAAGTCAAATGAACCTATAATTCTACTTTTATATACTAGTGGAACTTTAGCTGTAGATATTTAGAATTATTAACAACAAAAGTAAATTTGATATTTATTATGAATGAATTGCGACTTATTGGGAACATTTACACTGATAATAACAAGAGAATGTGCAAACTGCTTACCAAATTTCAACAGATTAATAAGGAAAAAGACAATCATCTTATTATAATGATTTAAAAAGGGGTGATTATTAATACTCAAATTAAAGTTAAAAAGAAGAAAGGGATGTTCAAATTGACATAACTGTGTTGCAAATAAAGGCAACAGTAGTATACCCTGTACAAAAGTCGTAAATCGATTAAGAGAAAACGAATCCGGGTTACAAACTAAAACCGAGGGAAACACATCAACTATAAGATGTTAGCAAAAAAAAAAACAGGGAATGATCTAAGTGACAATACAAATCAAACAGAATACGAGAGGAAATTTCAAAACTACAATAAACAACAACAATTAAACATAGTGAAAATCGAAATATCACAACAATTAAACATAGTGATTGGTATTATCACAACAATTATACATACAGAGAGAATGAGAATATCACAAAAAAATTAAACAACATTACAATATCACAACTGCACTTCTACATAGATAGATAAATATAGAGAATATCACAAAAACAATTAAACATGGTAAGAGTGGAATATTGCAACCAATAAACTTAGAGAGATGGGGAATATTCCCAAAATAATTTAACAATATCACAACAACCAATAAACATAGATAGATAAAGAATACCACAAAATTTAATTTAACATAGGGAGATGGGGAAAATCACAAAATCATTTAAACATGATGAGATTGGGAATATCACAATAAAATTTAAACATTGTGAGATGGGGAATATCACAACAACAATTAAAAATTGTGAGATTGGGAATATCACAACATCATTTAAGCATATTAAGATTGGGAATATCACAGAAACAATTGAACAGAGTGAGACTGGGAATATTAAATAACCCAAACATATTGAGATAGGAAATATCATAAAAGGTATTCATTATAGTGAGATGGAAAAATCACAACATCAATTACTGTGGATTCATTATTATTCGTTGGATACCAATTTTTGTGGATTTCGTGGGAACCGGTCAACCACGAAATTAAATGTTCAACGAATACCAAATTTTCTAAAGGCCTGTATGCAGATTTCGGCAAAACCACGAAATTAAATATCCACGCACATGTAAGTTTTCCTTAATCCACGAAAATTGGTACCCACGAAAATAAATGAATCCACAGTATTTTCTTTTACATAAATAGTCAACTGAATAAGAGAAGAATGTTCAAATTGACAATAGTTGTACAGAATTTTTTTAACACTTATATCGGCAGTAGAAGTTAAACATATAACACTGTTAATGGACACAAACTCAAAGTCACTTAAAAGTCATTGCTTATCATAATAAGTGATAGCTGCCAACATCTAGCAATGATAGATAATATCATGACATGCCAAAAAGCGTCTGTAAACAGTTGAAACATTGTGTATTACACAGGAAAAGTGTGTGATTTGGCAACTATTAATATTCAGCCATAGTCCATTTCATCCTTCCTAAATGGTGCAAACAATATCCCCAGTGAGAAGAGCATTAGCCCTGAGACATTCTTTTCAAACTTTGTTCCAGAACATTACTTTCCATTTACAATTGCTATTATGCAAATTTAAACAAAACTTTAATTGTCATTAAAATGCATTAGGCAATGATTTTGAATTAGCCAAACAGGCAACTGTTGAATGTAATAAAAGATAACAACAGTTAAGTGCACTTATGATTTGTATGATTGTCAGAGCTAAAAAGCATGTCACATGTTTTTGCACATTTTTATGACATGAAAAGGTTTCTTATTGCTAGAGGTTAGCAACCATGCATTTATCAGTGCCTATAATGAAATCAATTTGGCTATTTCATTGCTATAAATACCAATTTTAGAAAAGTTTAAAGTTGTCAGAAAATTTCAACAAAGTTAACAATATTCCCAAGATTTCTCAAAAACAAGTATGGTAATTGTTTCGTATCTTTCATGCCGGGGCCTTTAATAGCTGACATAGATTGGATTAAAAAGAACACTTTTTTATTAGGGACATTTTATTATGATAATGTTTATTATGTAAAGAACAAATATCAATATGCAGTGCATCAATATTAATTTCTAAAAATCAGCAGGAATAATTTTTTGGTAGGAGTTGTTTGGTTTATGTCTAAACGTCTGTAATATTTGTGTTTCAGCATTACTTAGAACCAAGAAGTAAACTTACAGAAGAGCTGAAGAACAAGAACATTCCTATTTCATCTTTTTTCACATTACCTCATGGAAGAGTTCATGTTATTGGCAAAGATAAGCTTAGTGGTGATGAATGATTAAACATTCAATTGTGACACTTGCAATCCATGAAAATGTAAATCGAAAAGGAGATGGTCCTTGAATGGCTTGAAATTGTTATTTTAATCACATATTTCTCCATTACAACAAAACAGAATAAATTAATATCTGGAAAACAGCTTGACAATAATGGCTTGTAAATTGTAAACACTTTTGGAATATATCAGACACCTAGTCCCTATTATCAAATACTTTGATTTGGGAGCATGGATATGCTTAAGTTAGAAATGCTTACAACTTCTTGTGTAGTAGGTCAAACTTTTGTATACAGAGTAGATAATCAAAACAGATGTATTATTTTCAAGGTTTTATGAAAAATTTACCTTTTTACAGATTTATATTTGATGTATAATTTCATAAACCATTAGTCACACTTTCAGTTTATAACTTGATGGTCAGATTGTGTAATAATTTTGTCAGAGTATTTAGCAAAGTGTATCCAAAACCAAGAACTTATCAGAAATGGTCCAGTATTGGATACAGATAAGATTTTTAGCCACTCTCACTGTTAAGACATCAGAAATATCTAAGATTAAAACTTATCAAAATAATGCAATTTCATTTCTATCTTATACATTGTATATACAAATGTTTTCTGAAGAATCTATGCTCTAATACCATTGTTGAATTTTCATGGGTTTTAAGAACATTAAAATACCTGTATAATCCTATTCTTTCAAGCTTTGTTAGATATTCAAATGGATTTGGTCAGTATTTGAATCTGTTTATCTTATGGATAAATGAAAGAAAATGATGCTAGAATTATATCTTTTAGAACTTCATTACTATAACAGCAGTATGCACTGATCAAATATGATTCCATTATGACTTTCATAAAATAAAAGTTCATAAAAAGCCATTTTGTGACAGCAAAATTTTAAAGTACAAATTATGTGCCAGTCATGAACAATTCTGTATTTTTAACAACCAATTTTGATAACAGATTTCTTTGGTGAATAGAACTCAGTGATCTTAAGGTGAACTAATTTTTTTCATGTATCTTTGCTACTTGTCAAAATATATGCATTGTTGATAAATTATATATTTGTGATTTGTCTTTGCTAAGATCTGGACCTGAATGCTTAACTTAAAAGTATATATGTCAGTGTTTTTATGTATTGTTTTGTGGCCTTGTTTTTATTTTAATATGTCTTTCATTTTTCCCATGTCATTGTCAGTAACTCATTGACTTCCGAGTTTTATATGTCCCCTTGATATCTCTTTTTAGCTCACCTGGTCCAAACTATTGCAATCAATTGACATAAGAAGTCGGCAGTGTCCACCGTAAACGTTTACAGAAAATATTCTCTTGACAAATTTCAACCATACTTTAAGAGAATGATCTTTTGGGTATCTAGTATAAAGTTAGTCAATGTTGCAAATTAACCAACATGGCAGCCTTGGCTTAAAAATAGCACCTAAAGATAAAATGTATTTAATATCTTATATCTTGAAAACCTTTACTAATAGAGAAAATCTGCTAAGAAAGTGAAAATGAAAATTCATCTCCTTCCTATTTTCACCAAAATTACCAGATGAATCGTCATGGGAGTTATTGCCCAAGTATGATGATTTTTGAATAATTTTCGAGTTTTTGCCTATTATCTTTAAATTATAATCGATAAGTAGAATCTATGAAATGATAAGATATACACAATTTATAAAATTGGCATAACGAAAGAAACAATTGAATGACTTCTTGATGTAGTTTTTGCCCTTTAATGAAAATATTGACTAATTTTCAAGTTTTTGCCTTTATCTCGAAAATTGTAATAGATAACTGTAGAATGTAGAAACTGCAAACAACAAAACTGATCAGCAAAACAAGATATACTGAAATGCCAATTTTACTGAAGCCATCGGATGACAATTTATAGAAGTTATTGCCTTTAAATGATGATTTTTAATTTCGTGCTTTTTAACTTTTTGCATATTATTTTAAAAATTATAATAAATAGGTAGAAACTCTGAATTACAAACATGATCACCAATAATACAAGTCCTACAAGAATGCCAATAAAAACCAAACCATTGGATGACCCCTTATTATAATAATTGCCTTTAAAACATGATATTTTGCTAGCTTTTGAGTTTTTGCCTACTATCTCTATAACTATTATAGATAGCTAGTTACTGAAAACAGCACAAATGATTAGCAATACAAGATCTACAACAATGATAAATATGACCAAATCCATTGGATGACTCGGTATATGAGTATTGCCGATTTTTCAAGTTTTGCAAGTGAATGATCCAAGCTCTGAGGGAGCTCTTGTTTAAAATGAGATGAACAAAAGAGGAAATCAATGAATAGAAGATTTTTGTATTTTCTGAGTGGACAGAAAATCTCTGTAATTGCTTTTCTCCAGTGTAAACTATTGTCCGATTTTAAAAGTATCACAAAATTAGAAATATATTATTGTAGTATTTACATATCTTTATTTTGTATTTATAGTTTTTTTTTCCTATTCATATTGTAAAACTAGTTAATTTCTCTAGTTTTCACGTTTCTATAATATTACAAATTAAATATAATATTTGAAAATTATCAAGTTACATGTTTTAACATAGAATTGCTGTTAGATGATTTTTCAAATTATGTCCTAACCATTTCTACTAACACCCTGAATTATTTAAATTTCATTACACATAAAAAGGGGAAATTAGATACATCATGTTTCTGAAAATAAGCACAAAGAAATCTTTGTTACATCCTTTTATACTGGTTACAGCTGTATGAGATGTGAATATAACTATTAAAAACAATCGGAAAAGTCTGAGATGAAAATCAAAATGTATTTAATCTGAGTTTAGTTCTCAGTATTAAAGTGACCTATAACGGTATTACTTACTGAGAAGATGTATCTTGTGGACCTGAACAGCTTTCTACAAATGTGTGTCATTCTGACTTACAGTTAACCTTCATTAATAAACTCATGATAGATACCAGAATTTAGTTTCTGTATGCCAGACGAACGTTTCGTCTACAAAAGACTCATCAGTGACGTTCAAATTGAAAACGTTAAAAAGGCCAAATAAGGTGTAACTTTGAAAAGCAATGAGGTCCTAAAATTCTGAAAGGTTTAGCCAAATACAGCTAAGGTAGTCTATTCCTTGGATAGAAAATCAAAAAGTTCAAAGTTTTGTAAACAGTTATTTTATAATCATGAACATATCAATGACAATTCATGTCAACACAGAAGTGCTGACTGCTGGGCTAACTTTAGTTATATTTTGTATGTTACTACATTTGATTTACAGTAATACATACTAGATAAGTTATGTATCCATAAGGACAGAATTAACTGGCTTCCTGACCTACATTACGCGATTTACAGATTTTGGTGAAATTTTATATCTTGATTTTATACTCAATTCGAGATAATTTTCACTGATGTCATTAGTTGTAAAGATGAATTTTATAATTTCTGACAGTCTAAATTCCATCAAATGCATGATGACCTTATTAGTATACATTAAGTTAATGAAACATCTGAAGGAAATATGGAGAACTTTGTAATCATATAATAAATAATATAATAAATTAAATAATGTAAATTCGGGGAAATTATTGCGGGCTATTATTATTGTGATTATTAAACAATGGACACAAATGTGATATCAATCTTCACGATTTCAGGAAATGATCCATACATATAATGGTATCTAATAAAAAAATGCGAGTTTTTATTTTGTGCGAAATATATGACGTCCTAATTTTCGCAGTGATTTCTGAATTTACAATATTGAGAAAATCAGTCTATCGTTTGTACCTTTTACATATGTACTGTTAACAGTTTCATTCATAGATGTGTATTATTCAGAATTTACTTACATGTGTAACATTGTGTGTAATGTTTCAAGTTTCAGTTATAGGTGTGTACTTATTCAAGTTTTACTTTCAGGTGTTTACTGTTACAAGCTTTTTTGGGAATTTAAAATTATTTCATTTTTAACAAGTTTGTATATCAAAATGTATATAATATGTTGTGAAGGTAAAATGAAACAGAAATAAAATGGAATTTAATGTGACAGCTGTTTTGATAGCATGATATTCAATGGTACATTTTTTACAATACACATGCGTATTCCGACAATTAATGTCTCTTCAGTTTAATTTGACACCACATAACATATGTCTCTATTACTAATCACTATTAGTTACCAGGTTACCAAGGGAATAATTCCAACAGATAAAGGTGTTGATGTATTTTCTGTAAAAATACATCATATAACAGATGTCTCTAATATAGCAGACTACTGTTACTCCATAGATGTACTACAATACCAGAAGTTAAAAGTATATGTCTGTATTAATACACCTTAATGCAAAAGTATCTCCGTAAGAGTTAAATGTAATTCTGGAAAGGAAATACTACTCCAGTAACCAAAGGTGTTGAATTTGGTTTATTTGCCACTATTTGTTTAAAGTCTCTGTTATGATGTACTTTTTGTTCACACAAAAATAAAATGGACTCCACTGAATCGCATACCAGTTATTCGCATAAAGGTAGTATTTGGATAAAATTTAATGCACAAAACATTTTTTTCTGTCTTTTCTGTATTAACAATTTATCATTTTAATGAATTAACTTGAGATTAAGGATACAACAGATACAGTTAAGTCTGCTCATAACTTGACTTACATCTAGAAATTGACAATGAGGGTCGTTTGAAAACAAATATTTACGACAAAAGAGTTGATTTTAGCTTCCCAATTGTGAACTTTCCATTTTTTATGTAGCAACATTCCAACAGAACCTGCATACGGAGTATATATCTCCCAATTGATACTTTATTCCAGGACTTGTATTTCCTATCATTGATTTCCTTGATAAATGGTTGCTGCTCACAAGGAATTTCTTAAACCGAGAGTTTCAAGTGGTGACGTTGAAATTATCACTTCGTAAATTTTACGAACGCCATCACGAGTTGGTTGACCGTTATGGAATATCCGTTTCACAGATGACAGTGGATATGTTCCAACAGTCCCGTCCCCTTTTCCCCGAATGTGACCTACCGAATTAAACATATTACCGGGCTTGTACTAACAAGAGCAACACGACGGGTGCCACATGTGGAGCAGGATCTGCTTACCCTTCTGGAGCACCTGAGATCACCCCAGTTTTTGGTGGGGTTCGTGTTGCTCAGTCTTCAGTTTATTATGTTGTGTTTTGTGTACTGTTGTTTGTCTGTTGGTCTTTTTCTTTTTTAGCCATGGCGTTGCCAGTTTATTTTCTACTTATCAAATGTCCTTTTAGAATCTTTCTTCTCTCTTTTAATATAGTATTTCCGGTTCATTACATTACAATATTTTTTAACAAAATTACACATTACATGATATTATTCCAGAAGAAACAATCAAATAGTTTTTTTTTCAAAAATTTTGTTTTTATTACATTATTGTGTCTTTTCTTCTTTTAACATGCATTATTAAAGAGGCCTTGGGACTCATTTGGAAATAGCGTTTGAAGTGTGTTTTTTTTACTATCCTTGTCTGAGAGGCTTAAATTTTTTGGCTTATAATACCATTCGGTAAATGTTTTTACAAGTAGCAGTGCGAATTAATTTCTTTAATCTCCTTCTGCTGGCAAACCAAAAAAAAAATATAAACATAAGAGGAAGAGAAAAAGTACCACACAAAATACATGTGGATTTGTATAGGCAAATGTCCAATCTTGATAAAAGACAGTTGGTTTGATTGGTTTGTTTTAGAGAGCATGTACTCTCGCTAATAAAACTAAACTTTGTGAACAACAAACTGCTAACAACGAACGTCAACTGTAGTAGGGCAGATGCAACAGCTGAAACCTTGAATCACCATTTCAGGATAAACATTTGTATCTCACACCTTCAAACATTGATCAAACCTTCTGACATCTAGAAAAACCTCATCAAAGATACAAGGCTTATGACTTTGTACGTCAGACGCACGTATCGTGTGCAAAAGACTCATCAGTGACGCTTGAATAAAAAAGTTAAAAGGTTGAATAAAGTATGAAGTTGAAGAGCAATGAGAATAAAAAATTCCGAAAGGGTTTGCCAAGGTAATCTTTTCCTGGTATTGAAAAGCGACAGATTTGCAATGAAGCAAATGCTTTATGGATTCTATTTATTTTTACGGTATTTCCAGAATTTGATGGAAGATATTCTAGTCTTCTAATTTATAGTTGATGGATTTCAAAATGACATCCCATATCCCGAGGACTTACCCAAAAAGATTCACAAAATAATTTAAAGATATATGACATCAAAATATACCATATTTCAAGCGATTACACATACGTAGTACTACTTAAATAAAAGACAAATATTATTTATATTTATCAAAGTTGTACATATATCGATACGAGGTTGTTGTGTTTTTGGTATTTATAGATATGTCTGTTTGATTGGATACATAAAAGAATACGGATAGAATTTCATGAACTGGTAGTTTGATAGTAGTTTAATTCATTCGAGTCATTGCAGTCAAGTGTACTAGCGGCTCTTTTTCCCTAATAAATCATTATAAAAATTATTTATTTACAGGTTGATTGTCCAAGATGGGTCACAAATATTGAAGCGCTATGTAGAAACAGACATTTTTCATTGAGATAAAATGAATAACGTGTATTTATTATCTGAATAAATTGCACTTGACTTTTGCAAGTGACTACTCCCATGCAAGAGTTTTGTAATAAATTGATAAACGTTTTAGGTTCGGTTGAGTTTACGAATTAGAACAAAATGCTTCTTTCAGCGTTGCCTGTAGGATTCTGCAGTTGCATTGGCGACCTAAACTTGGAACAGATCAATAATGACAAGAAGTAGACTGTGTACTCAGACTATAATAGCAATTGAAAATATCTGGGAAAAAATAGAATAAAGCACGAAAAACTGCTCAGCTTCTGCGTGCTTAGGTGGCTATAAGATCCCGCCTTTTCTAGTGCTTCGTATAACATAAATACTATAATATTATGGTTGGGAGAACTAATCAAATACAAAGTTGAATATCATTAAAAGCTGAAAAGGTTGTGCTTTTTACGACTAAGGCAATCTATGCCCAAAGGTAGAAAATTCAACATTTTTTTACAGTAAATGTACAGAAAACCTACATTTCAACGACAATACAAAAGTGATGACTACTGGGCCTTGGTACCCCCAAGACGAAACGTCCAATATCAATGTCCTTGACCCGGTGGTTCTCAATTAAGTTACTAAGCTTATAGCTGGGTACGCCAGGTGCGCTTTTCGTCTACATTAGACTCATCAGATGCGTTCGAATTAAAACAGTTAGGTAGATAAAGTCATAAACGATGTTAACGAGCATTAAAATCCGAAAAAAATATTGCCAAATACGGCTAAGGCAATCTATGTCTGGGGTAGAAAATCTAAGTGTTTAGAATAAATAAGCATTTTATATAAAAACAGTAAATTAACAGAAAGTGAAGATATCAATGGTACTTTATGTCAATACAAAAGTTCTGACTACTATTGTATCAAAATTTTGAATCTAAATAGTTAAGCAATTTTGTGAAATCTTTTTATCAATAAAAATAATGACAAAGAACTTATCAGAAGAACACTACAGGAATAACACTTGGATCTGCCTCTTTTTTGTCTCTTTCAAACCAAACATTTTATTTTACCAATTATGGACCCACAAAAGAAATACCAAATAATAATGATTTTCAATGTTCATCTGAAACATATAACTTATACAATATAAAGAATAAGATACATATGACTATTGGAAGTGCACATGATCGATTATATGAACTGGTAATTCAGCTCATGGTGTATATAGATTCTTCTTACATGCATATACATTGGGATAGACATCAGAGGACGTACGAAAACAGTATAATAAAGAATGAATGACCCTCATCATGATTTAAGTTTCCAAATAACGACTTTTAAAGTATTCAAATACAAAAATGTACTTTCATAAATTGCATATGGTTTGCACCCATCACATTTGGTTCACTTTTCAGCAGCTTGAATTGACTATAGTGACTTGCTTGAAACAAGCATAATGTCACACGTTATATTCACACAACACTGATATCATCACTTCGAAATTTTGCAATACCCATGGTGATTGGTTGGAATGGTTAATTGTTATAAGGTGATGGCATTTAATGTCACTTGTCCTTTGTTCCTCGCATCTTTTAACATCCTGGAATCTGATTTTCACAGTGTTGGAACAGAACAGTACAGTTTTTCAATTTTGTGGTCATTCGGGAGACTGTCATGCGGGGCTCCATCATTCGAAATAAAAAGCAAGTTGCTGAATGGGAGGTTTGATATAAACACATGTTACTGTATAAAATTTCCGCTTTCTACCAATCAGCAACTTGTTATTTTTTCGAATGTCGGAACCCCGCTTTACAGTCTCCCAAATGACAAAAAAAATGAAAACTGTACAGTTTCGTTCCCACACTGTGTAAAACATTTGTCCTGACTAAGTTTGCAATCTTTAACACTGTTTTGATGTCCAAATAATTGCACCCCATTATTCCAAACAATTTAGTCGTGAATGTACTGAAGATTATTGTTTCCATAATTTTGATTGACGATTTTGTCTACTATAAAAATAAGGATCATATCAACACCCCAGCTTTAACTAAAAAGTCATAAAAAAAAACATATGGATCCGGAAAGAATACTGTAGACTGAACATTACATGATGATGATTTGCTTATTAGTTAATTTCTCGCCTCTTTCTCTCTACGAAAGTAGCAGAATGCGAGACAGGGATGTTTATCCAGCGGAGGCGGCATTTTTTGCATTAAGCTTTGTATTTCAGAAGGCGGAAGACCTAGATACTTCATACCTTATATGGAGTACACAGTTATAAGCCTTGTATGGCGCGCAAAATTATAAGCCTTGGTATCTTTGATGAGGTTTTACAATGGCTTGGTCGATGCCAAGTTTCGTGGTCAAGTCTGTACCTCCGATTCTTTCAGCAATGGGTCAATTATGTTTTGTGTATGGAATGATTGTAAGGTGTACACGCCCGTCTTGCAGGTTTTATCTTACCTTAACCT